ATCCATCCATCCATCCATCCATCCATCCATCCATCCATCCATCCATCCATCCATCCATCTATCTATCTATCTATCTATCTATCTATCTATCTATCTATCCATCCATCCATCCATCCATCCATCCATCTATCTATCTATCTATCTAATATGTGTAGACTTCAGCTCCCAGAATTCCCCAACCAGCATGGGAATTCTGGGAGTTGAAGTCCACACATCTTAAAGTTGCCAAGTTTGAAAAACACTGATTTAGAACTTTATGTAGGAAATGTGTTATCAAAGGGCCCAGAATTATTTTTGTGGACAAAGTAATCCACAAAGTAATCCATGTGAGGTACTTACTGATGTTCTGTTTCAAAATGTAAGCATATTCCTCCCCGCTCTGAGGTTTATTGGTCTGGGGGACCTTTTGCACCGCAAAAAAATATGCATTGAAAGGAAGTAGGCTGAAGGAGCACCAAACATTAACTCTCACAAGAATATCATAAATAGCACGCAATTCCTTCTTAAGCAGTTTGAGTCCCTATATTCTCCAAGTGGCAAAAGGGTGAATGTTTCCACCTTGCAGACCATGGGTTTCAAAGTCACTTCCAGACCAAGGCTATAAACTAGCCAGACTTCATAGTTGTTTTTGTTTAGCAGCAGTGCACCGTTTCTTACATAAGCGGCAAACACAAAAGTCAACCAAACAAGCCAAGTTCAGCTGGTCGCTCATTTATACACAGACTACCATGGAATGGCTAATTGCTTTTGACACCTACTACATTTTAATGCTTTTGGGAGACCATCATCTTTTGAAAGGAAACACAGGATGGAGCTGGGATGGGCAGAACCCTTTGATTAAGTGGAACATATATTAAAGCTTTAGGTCTGGATGTCTGGGCTTTGAGATAGTGTCTGAGATAGCAAGAAATGATTGATTCTTTTTTGTGTTCCAGCGGTTTACCTCTGCAAGCGAACAATGCAAAACAAAGCACGGCTTGAGCTAGCAGACTATGAAGCAGTAAGTACCTGGGCCCTTTCCTGGAACCAAGACTTGGAGATTGGGTTGTGAGACTTGGAAACTCTGCCAGAAACAAGAGCAAAAACCTTGAAACAATCCTGGTCTTGAAAAACAGATGTTTGGGTCTTTCACCTGCAGGCAGACATTGATACTGGAGTTTCAGGGTTTGAAAGGAACACATAAAAAAAAAAATGGCAGAGTCTGTGGTGTAACATTGTGTTACAAAGATTGAAGAGCACCATGGCAAAAGTAGAGATTATTTCACTCCAACTGCTGGAGAATTACAATCATTCCCATGAAGATCTCTAAAACATTTAGAAACATTGGTAATAACCAAGGGTTCCATGTGTACGTGTTACAGATACCCCCTTTGGTCTGTGTTGACCCTAACTCAGAAAGCTTTGTCAGAGAAAAGCTCACTTTGAATTCTCTACTTATATTGTTTAAAATGGAAAGTGACTGGGTTTTTTCCTTTCCACTGCAAGGATGTAGGTTGGGAAGAAAACAGTAGATAGAGTGTGTTTTTCTATCTCAGAAGAATGCATCTAGTGCTTAGAAACTTTATCTATAGCATGCTACTGTACCAATTTTAAGTAACCTACATTTAAAAAGAAATTTCTACCAGTGTACACAGCCATACACTAATATACTCTTTTCTAGCACTGGGCAAATGCTTGAACTTCAGACTAATTGTCAGTTCCATAGCCCAATTCCTTTTAGTTGCCACTAGCATAATTACCTAAATGTGACTTAATCTATGCCTGTCCAACTCAGGAGAATGTTGTCCTGTGTTTAGTGGAGGTTATTCCCCAGGATGTATCTATAAGATTGCAGCTAAAAGTTATCAAAATAAAATTTGCTTTTAGATTTATCACCCTCAAGAGACAAGATCCATTGGGTATCTACTCTGGCCCATGCTAAATATCTCTAGGACATCTTCTGCATGATCTATTTAGTTTTACAATTCTAAAAATGTAATGTTAATTTACATACAGTTTCAGGAGGGTCTACAAGGTATGGTCATCATGGCCACCATCTTGACTTTTTGGACCACACTTTGTGGACACCCCTGCACAGTTTATTCTTGAGAGGAAAAAAGGACATTGGTATGCTATGGTACTGGAGAAACACAGAATTGCTGAATCTTTCTTGGAAGTAGACCAGTATGTGAATACAACATTTATTTATTTACATAGCAGTTTTTAGAAATAGGGCTGACCTGTGGGAGAAAGCCACTGTTAACTTATAAATATTTGTCTTGATCTGTTTTTTCTTGAGAGCATGGCTGTGCAGGATGTATAAACAATTTTTCCATTAACAAAACAAAATAAAAAAAGTTCCCATCTAATTCAGGACTGGGGAGGAAAGGCAAAATTTGACAGGCACAAAGGAATGCTTGGGGTCTCTGAACTGAAAAATTTCAGTGAACAAAGACATAGCTCATTCTTTTTTTAAAAAATGAGCTTGGTTCCTGATGATTCCATGGACACATCCATGTAGTTTTTTTTTGCAACAGTACTGAAGTGTATTGCTGTTGCCTTTTCTCAGGAGGTATCTTCAGCTTCCCAGTGTAGTCTACAACTCTGGGATGTTCTGGTGGTCTCCCATCAAAGTACTAACTAGGTCAGACCCTGCTTAGGACCCCAGGGTCTTGTCACCTGCTCAGACAACCCTTATTTGGAATCTTGAAATCTCAGAAGAAAATTGCAATGACTTGAATCTAAATTACATTTATGTAACAAAGATTTCAAGCTCTCCAAAGTACTTCCTACTCGAGAAACTTGCTAATATGCAGTGTGTTTTCAGGAAAGCTTGGCCAGGTTGCAGCGAGCATTTGCACGGAAATGGGAGTTTATTTTTATGCAAGCAGAAGCACAAGCCAAGTGAGTTCCACTGACATTTTATTGCCAAATTTGTCATCCACCATCTTTCTAGGCATTTCAATTTATCTTTTTATGTTATTTATCTACCTCATCATCAACAGAGTGGACAAGAAAAGGGACAAGATAGAAAGAAAAATCCTTGATAGCCAGGAGAGAGCATTTTGGGATGTACACCGGCCAGTGGTATGTAATCAATGGATCTTTGTACTGTAAGCCCTAACACTCAAACGTGGTTTTGTAGTTAGTGTACAGCTTTGGAGATATATTCCCCTCCCTCCCTCCCTCCCTCCCTCTTTCTCTGATTATAAGATGGGCTCAGATTAAGCAATACAGTGATGCTATTAGATGGTACATGCTGACCCCAAAAAGTTAAAAATGACTGGAATCTCCCAAAACTTTTGTCTTATGTGACATCTCATGACATTTTGATCAATTTTTCCCTATTTTTTCTTAATAATGCAATGATTAAGTACTGTACAAAATAATGTAGTGGAAAAGGTTGCTGACCCCTCATGTTGGGCAAATTCAGATATAATTATTTTACTGACCAGCCAAAAACGTGTTGATTTCTGTGATGGAGCCAGAAAAAGAGTCACCCACTCATGTACTTGAGTGACTGAATGCTCAAGCTGGACTACTTATTTGGGTACCTGATACAGACAATTCCACAAGCATCTCTGTCTAGTCATGACATAACTTTAAATTAAACCTGTAATCATTTACTGCTTTTTGATGATGCTCTGCCCAAGGTCAGAGCAGCCATTCTGCATGTGCCTTCTTATGCATCAGATGCCAGTTCCTGTGTGGATATGTATTATCACAGTTCTTTTGAACAATAGCTATGATGATTTATCTTACACTTTATATTGGCTCACAACTGGTATAATATATAATGTCTAAAGTAACCAAACATCTAGCCATTTTCAGTATCACAACATGGTGATATTGTGCAAGATCTACCCTTAAAGCTGCTGGGAAGAGAAGCAGGGTAATTCAGGACTGCGTATAATAGCAGGTTAATTAGCTATTTGAATGGAAACTCAACTGGGAAATGCCTTGTTACTATTCAAAAAATAGTCTTTTGTCCCCTATTAATAAGCAAACAATTTAAAAAATAAAACTTCATAAAAACTGCATTTTCACTTTTTTGAAATGTGGGGTCATGTTTAGATGAGGAGAAAGTATTCATCGAAATAATTTTTTTCCACATTTTTTCCACATCCTGCTACTAATATTTCTCAGAATGACATTGACTGGGGGAAGCTAAATGGTAATATTAATAAATATTTAATTGAATTGAACTTTAAACCATTTACTTCTTGTCAATGCTTCTGAATATTGTGATTGTTAACATTTCTGTGGGGATGAGGATGATGAAGAGTGTTCATCTTTAAAAGATGGAAAGAAACTGGGGTGATTTTGTTTTTGATAAAGTACATGAAGCCATAAGATGCTACAGATGGTAAGTGGAATTCATGACAGCATCAGAAGAAAATCTGTTGAAAAGCCAAAGGACTGTGGCCAGAGTTTAAAGAAATAACCTGCACTTTCTGGAATATCTACAGCTAGACAACCAACATCTGTTCTGAGAGGTTTCAGATTAAGATCCAATATTTTGTTCACTTACACATTCTGCTAGATATTCTGGAAAATTACACAAACTTGTTTCACATGGAAATGTCATAAATAATTTAACTTGCTTCAGAAGCATGTATGATAAAGAATGTAACCGAAAGCTAGTATATAGTGGTTAAAGTGGTGGAATAAGACTTGGAAAACTCAGGTTCAAAGCCTGTTCATCTTCCTCTATACATGAAAGATATAAAGGTGAATGTCTGGATTAAAATAGGAAATAACTGCTTTAAGTGGTCCCTGGATAAAAAAATATGGGATATAAAATCAGTGAAATAAAATTAATTTTAAAAATGCAGAATGGACACAAGCATTCACAAGTCACTCCCCCCCCCCAAATGTGCATCGTGGTATCACACGACTTATGTACTTGCATCAGCTGTCAGGAGGTAAATACCTAGGGATGGAGTTTGTGCTTTTATGTTTTGTGCTTATGTTTTCATTGTTCTAATATCACAGCTCACTATAGATGCCTAGGAAGATGGGGAAATATATGGAGAAATGTGGGTGTCATAGGATTAAGTTAACATAGCATTCACTTAGTAAATACCATCTGTATTCCCAACAGGGAGTGCACTAATTATCTATAAGCTTATTTATAATTATTACACCACCGTTTCTAATTTCTTAGCTTGGAACTTGTAATCTTCACACTCAATCCAAAACAAGCATATTGCCTGCTTGAATTCTTCTTCAGTTCAATTGTAATCTGAAATGAAAAAGAACCCATTCTTCCAACTGTGCACTGGCAATGTTTGCACAATACTTAGTTAAAGACTTAGTGGCTTGGTTAATTTTAAACCTGTCTTTTTTCTTTTCTTTTCTTTTCTTTTCTTTTCTTTTCTTTTCTTTTCTTTTCTTTTC